TACATGTATCATATATGTATATATGCATTCCAGATAATATATTATATATATATATATATATATTAAGAAGCAGCCCACTAGAGCAAAGATGCATCAATAAATTATATTATTAATTTCAATTATATAAATTCATAGAATAAATACAGCCCCAAACAAACTCAACTTCCTCCAATACATATATATAATATATATTATGCTATTATGTATAACATATTATATATATTATAAATGCATGCAGTGCATCATCATCAACGTCTCCCGCCCCCTTGGGCTGTCTACTCAGCTGCAGCACCAACTGCAGCAGCACGTGCAGCACCAACTGCAGCAGCACGTGCAGCACCCGCTGCAGCAGCACGTGCAGCACCAAGTGCAGCAGCAACTGCAGCAACAAGTGCAGCAGCAGGTACAGCAGCATGCGCAGCAGTTTACGATTTGTTGTGTGTATCTAGACTGCGCAGCATGCGCAGGAAATCTTTATTTTGAAGTAGTTGAAGGATATCATCACAACCTCCAATAGACCTCCCTTTAATAAATATTCTTGGGACAGTCCTAGCTCCAGTGCGTAGTAATAATGCATTTTGAATGTGTGGGGTGTATAGGGTTTTATCAATCTGCACTGTACATACACCTGAAGGCTTCACAGAGTGCAGCGCTTGCAATGCTATTGAACAGTAGGGACATGACTTCTTTATAAACACCAACACCTGCTGCTCTTTAATTAAATTGTCTAACCATTCATCAACTTCTGCAGCACTCCGCAGCAAAGGGAAGCCCTCTGAACTCACGCCGCTCGTCTCACCACACGGAGAAGTAATGCTGCTCCTCCACCTGCTGCTGCTGCTGCTGCTGCTGCTGCTGCTTTTGTTGCTGCTCATACTGCTTTTCCTGTTGCTGATGCTGGTGATTCGGGGGGTGGCGCTGGTGTTGTTGCTGCTGCGGTTAGGGCTGCTGCTGTGTTTAGCGCTGCTGCTGCTGCTGCTGCTGCTGCTGCTGCTGTTGCTGCTGCTATCGGCGCCGCTGCGGAGATTAGGAAGAGACATGGGAGGGGCCCCCAATTGGCATACCAGGTGGAGGTGAGGGACAAAAGAAAGACCGAAGCAGAGAGCAGGATGTGCTGAAATAAAACCCCTTCCGGCCCTCAACCTGCTGCTGCTGCTGCTGCTGCTGGGAAGGGGCCCTTGACTTTGCTGCAGAAACGCCAGAGCTGCTTCCTCTCCAAGTGTTTGTTTGCAGCTGCAGCACCACTTGTGTGCTGCATACTGCTGCGTGCTTTCATTCTCTGTCTGTTCAACAGGAAGTATAGGAGTTGTGGGTAGTGGGTTGTGCTGAAGAGGGGAAAGAAAACAGCTAAAAGAAAGAGAAGGGTCTCCATCTCGGCTGTTGTAGAAGCTGCTGCAGAGAGCAGCGCATGCATTCTCTGTATTGCGGTCAGAGAAAGCAGCAGCAGCGAACGGGGGCCCCCAGGGGCCCCCAAGGGCCTCTGAGGGAGCTAACGTGGCGGCCGTGGAGGCGCTACAGAGGAGAAAAGGAGAAAAGAGTGGAAGGATGAACTTCATCCTCACTAATGTTTTGTATTACTATGAATTATAAGTAATAAACTTGTATATTCTCTAATAGAGGCGGGAAAGGGAATTCACAAGAAACCTTAATAGGCGACAAGACAGCCAGCGGGGAACCTTCTTAACGACTGCGAATTCTTCAGAGACATGCAGAAATATCAAAAAGATTGAAAGTGAAGACTACTAAAACTTGCAAACAAAGAGGATACGCCAAGGACAAGAAGAAGGGGGAGCCGGAAAAAGAGCCGCTTTTGAAACCTTCGAGCGGCAGACTCCTAAAAGGGAGTAAAGTAAAAGGCATTTCAAAACGAGACAATAAAGGAGAAGTAAATAAAAATATATATTTCGTGGTGGAATGCAGAACGCCAGCCACTCGCAGTCGCCCCTTGCTCTGGAGCGGGCAAGGGGGTTTAGAAGAAGGCAGCGACGAATTGAGTGGAAAGAAGCATTTGATTAACTTCTAATATGACTTTTGACAGAAGATTGCAACTTATTTGGGGAAAACACTCAAAGAACTCGCATTTATAGAACATTTCTAGCGGGAACAAACGCAGGTATCAGCGCACGGGCACTGTGCGCTACCACGCGGTGTATGGGCAGCTCAGGCGGGGGCTGGGCCGCGATCCTCCACGAATTTATGATTATTTTTTTGGAATTTCGCTGACAATGATAAAATATAAACACAAATATACTGGAAACCTGCTTGGATTGGAGATTTATGCTTTTGTTTCCCTCGGAACCGATGGTCGGCCTGTCTACTACCACGTACTTGGGCGCCTCGGGGGAAACATGAATATGTACGTATGAAGGGGCTCGCACGACTTGTTTGACTTCAGGAGGAAGTTCTCCTGTTTTCCCCCTAAAAGCGCTTTTTTTGTGCCATCACTTTACTGTTATTTAGCCCAAAAGAACTTAAACACAGCCGCAAAACGCAGACGCTCAGACACACATACGACAACCAACGCTGGCGACGACAACACACAGACGTCAATTTCAGCGGAGTTGTTTGCAAGCCTGTTCTTCCTCAAGGTGTACATACACCTCAGCAGCGGGAAGGAGAGAATCTTTTGTTTCTTGCGGCAGCAATTGGCTCATCTCATTTCTTCGGTTTCTACTCGCATTCTTATTCTGCGAGGTCGGGGGTTCAGCGGCTGCAGCGTGTCGTGAGTTTGTGTCTTTATTATTTCTTTTTTCTGGTTTTCTTGTTTTGTGCTTCTTCTGCTCTTTATCCCTTTTAAACCAATCAACACGTTCAGCTTTCGCCATTGCTGAATTCCCCCATCGCTAGACATCAGCAGAAAAACAACACCACCGAGGGATCTTCATCTTTAAGTGTCTCAAGACTGCATGATATAATATAATAAGATAGAGCTTCTCCTTTATCTCCACATATCAGCAGCAGCAGCAGAGAGCGCAGCATTCTTCTCTTATGCCCCTTGGGCGCCTCCTCTTCTCTTCCTCTTCTTTCTTTCTATAACTCGTTCACTAGGCAACAGCTGCTGCTGCTGATCCTGCTGCTGTTGTTGTGCTGCTCTGCGTTTGTTACCTGACTGGATTACTTTCTCCTTCTGAGGGTTTAGGGTTTGATGAGGGGAGGGTTTCAGCCAACACAGCAGAGCAGCAGCAGCAGCAGCAGCAGCCACAGCAGCAGCAGCAGCAGCAGCAGCAGATTGCGTTGAATATAATGACGCCTGGTTTCGGCCCCTCGTGGCCGCAGACCACCTCCTCTTCCAGCTCATCTATGCAGCGTAGCGGAGGAGGAGGTCTCAGCAGCAGCAGCAGCAGCAGCAGCATTGGAGGAGGCGGAGGAGGCAGCAGCAGCGCAGCAACAGGAGCAGCAGGAGTGAAGGTACCGAGCTATAAGACAGTGCTTCTGGGAGATGCCTCTGTAGGTAAATCTAGCTTAGTAATTCGCTTTGTAAAAAATACTTTCTCTAATGCAATGGAGACAACAATAGGAGCAGCGTTCTTCGCTCACACAATAGAAGTAGACGGTAAGGCAGTAAAATTTGAGGTCTGGGATACAGCAGGACAAGAAAGATTTTCTTCTCTAGCACCAATGTATTATAGAGGTGCTGCTGCTGCTGTTGTAGTGTATGACCAGACCAATGGTCTATCTTTTGAAAGAGCTCAGATGTGGGTGCAGCAGCTGCAGTTAAGCGGAAACCCTGAGATTGTTATAGCATTAGCAGCAAATAAAGCAGATATAAGTAATAAACAAGTAGATATTGCTGCGGCAAAGCTCTATGCAGTAGAGAACCAGCTTCTCTTCTTAGAGACATCTGCACGTACAGGCCTCAATGTACAGCAACTCTTTCAAATGATGGCGAGGAGATTGCAGCAAATTAAACCAAATAAACAACAACATTCAGGTGTACAGACACTTAAACTTACTGCAGACGAACCCAATAGCGCTAACATGCAGACTTCTCTTTCGTCCAGAGTTGGGTGCTGCAGCTCTTCTTGAGGCCCTCATCACCGCTCTTACTCTCTTTTCATTATTCCTATCCTTTTTTCTTTTCTTTTCTTTCTTTTCTTTTTTCTTTGCTTTTCTTTTCTTCTTCTTTTCTTTGCTTCTTCTCTTCACCGCCTGCCGCCAAGCCATGCTCCACGTCGAAATAAACAAACAAGGGGACCCAACATATATATATAATATATACATATAATATATATAATATATATATAATATATATAATATATATATATATATATGCATCAAGTGCTACAGCCGCAGAAAGCCAACCTCACTTAACCCCCTTACACGCCTTATAGGGGTCATTCAAGGGCCCCAAGAATTGTCGTACGGTCTTCATTAAGGGGCCCCCCAGGGGGCCCCTTAAAGGGGCCCCTAAAAACTTTCATAGGGCGCATCTTAGTGTCTCCTACGCGTCCTTTTAGGGGGCCACTTGGGGGCCCCCTGGAAGCCCTTTGGGGGCCCCCTAGGGGGCCCCTTGGAAGCCCTTTGGGGGCCCCCTAGGGGGCCCCTTGGAAGCCCTTAGGGGGCCCCTTAGGGGGCCCCTTGAAAGCCCTTAGGGGGCCCCTTAGGGGGCCTCTTAGGGTTTTTAGTTTTATACTTTGCAGCGTTGGGTTGTTGTTAGTGGGGTGTAGGTTAGTTTGGCTTTGTATGCGCTGCTTTCTCTGCGTCTGCTCGTCCTCGCTGCGGCTGCTGC